GCGCACGCGCGGGAATTGTGTTCCAAGCGATGTAGACGCTTATTTGTAAACAATGACTCTCTATGACCATCTGGCGCATGCGCAGATGACGACTCCCGCTTTAAACGATAATATAAATTTGTTTTGGCAAAGTAGCAATTTTCAGAATATCTCAGTTTATGGCTAATCTGTAATTAGTGTGTTATTATAAACTGTTATTCTTGTATTGAAAAAAAACACACACACTGCTCTACGGACAGGAAAGAAGGTTAAACAAAATGAAACATAGCTCACATAACTGTGTGCAAGAGTACATGAAAGAATAAAAGACAATCTCAATAAATCTCCATCAATCTTATTAATTCAGTAATTTATAAAATATTTGATTCGATCCAAATCTGCATTACAACATAACACTTAATAAATGATTTCAAATGCAAAGTATACTGGCCTGAATCGTAAATCAAGACCAATCATGATTAAATCCTTATATCGGAAGACACACCCCAAGCAGTGTATTCAGAGCAAATGTGTTCCAGTGCACAGTCTCATACCTCCAATGAAGAACGGCTCTAAACCCTCACATGTGTGAAACGCCATTGTTTTAGACATGTGCGCCTAATGATGAGGGTCCTTGTATCAAAACCGGAACCTCCAGCCAACCAGCTAATGCACCAACCAACGAACCGACCGACCAATAGCACGGCAGTCAGAATTAAAACAAATGATCGAGCACACATTGCATACACCGTTGAGGGTGCTAAATAATTACACTCAAAATAATGGGAAATTATACACTGGCACTTTAACCATGGCACAACCAGTTACAATGGTAATACTTAGTGGCTTATTGTTTAAACAATTTAACTTCTGTACATTCAACTTCAAATACAATTTGGCATTACAACACTGACACACCATCGAAATGAACAAAATAACATGTTAAAATGCAATAAAGTTGTAAAAAAAGCAAAAATGCTATTAGTCATTGTTATAATAACCAGCATTATAATAAATGAATGAATGACACAACAAATGTCTTCCAATTTGACACCGGAGATATGTAATACAACAACATGAACAACAAGAACAACAGGGAAAAATTAACAAGAACAACAACAGTATCAGCAATAACAACATTGTATACAAATGTGGGTATAAGCACACAACCAAAAATTAACTCAAATCATTTCTTTAGTTACAGTTCTGTTTTCACTTATGTTCTAGATAACTTCGTATTGGGAAAGTGTTGTCCATTTCCATTTAGGAATTAATATTATCTGTAAGACATCGCCGTAAACTGACTATCGTGTGATCTGATACTTTATATAGGTAGTCCAATAGAAACGTTGACACGATATAGCTATCCGGGAAATCAGAATCTAAACTCAAAATGCCTCCTTTATCAGCCAGTGCATTGTGGATAACAGCCAATGCCTTCGGTATTCTCTCAACATCTCTGTACTCAAAGTATGAACTGTATGTCAGAAGATTTTCTGCAACGAAAAATTATGTTCAAAAATGAATTATTCAATGAAAACTATGAATACAATGCAACGATTTATTGTGTCTGTAAAAATATAAACAAAATGTTTATTTATATTTCTATCAGTATACCCCTAACTCGAGCCAACCTTGTAATTGTAAAAAATGGTGAATTTTCCATAATATATCGAGCACACTCTCTTTTTTATATGTACATGGATACCGAGCGACATTATTACACCCGGTCCATAACTACG